TCCCACTTGCCAAGCCTTTGTCACAGTCTCCAGCAGCCATTCCTCCGGCCATCTGCTCCTCCAGATGCTCAGCCTGTCCCCACCTCCCATCTCAGCCCCACATGCAGCCCGTCCGTGGATGAGTGAGGGGCTGGCAAGCCCACAACCTCCAGCCCAACTGTGCCATCTGTCTCCCATCTCCACGTATGTTTCTAGCTTTGCTTTTGACCCACATTCCTGCAGCCCCCCATCCCTGGCTTGTTTGCCCCCACCAATCCTGTGATTTCCAGGGAAAGGATGCTGCCTGGAAAAGATGGATGAGTTGCCATGGAGATTTGAATATACACAGGAAGCCACAGACACCTCACACCTGGAAGTACAAAGGAGTTTGACATAAGTTTAGTTTAGCCCTAAGGTTTAGTTGGTTTGGGTTGCAGTCCTTCCCATTGGAAGTCAGTGTCTTAGAGGGAAGTTTAAAGCCAAGTGTTGCCATAGCTGAGTATTGTCATGGCATTCCCCCATCCCATGTCAGTCTCTTGGATCACAAGCAAACTACTCAGAGGAATTGGAGGTTAGCCCTAGGCCTGTGCTCTGAGTGTTCTGAGGGGCTTGCTGTAACCAGGCCAAAAGTCTAGCACCTGCCCTTGCACCTGAAGAGTGGGTATATTCACATTCACAGGAAGAGAAACTGCCCGACCCACCCCTCTGTCATGTACCGTGGAGACCATGTAGAGAACTGGTCACCCCTGCCTGAGAACAAAGTGATTCTAAAGTGCCCCACCTCCCATTCTTCCTTTTTCTTCTGGATTTCAGGAATGTCAGGGGAGGAAGCTTGGAATTGGTGGCTACACCTTGCCTGTCTGTGGCTGGGGGCACAGGAGGCTCCTCCTCACTTTCCAGATGATGCTAGGTGGTGGGCAGGATAGGAGGGGCCTAGTGGTTGAATTCTGTGAGGGAACATTCCCTGCACTGGGATGCATTTCTCTGGATCCCAAAGGAAAGGGGGCACATTTTTGGCATTGCTACTAATGCCCACATAGACCAAGCGAGAACTCTGCTCTGTGATGAATGTGGAGGAGAACAATTCGCCCTTTCTCAACAGGGCTCTGCTAACCTTTTGGGCAGGACAGGGCCGTCCTGCACATTGCAGTGTGCTTATCATCCCTGGCCCCTGCCCACCAAATGTCATATTGCCTTGTAGTCATTGAGACAACCAAAAATGCCCAGCAACTTTTCAAACATCTCCTAGGGGATAGTGCCACTCCCAGTTTTTTGCTGCCACAAAATCAGATTGCTACAGACCAATCTATGCTCTGAGAAGAGACCAGGACCAGACCAGAGCTCTCTTTTGTCCTGATAAATTCATATTAATGAAAATCATATTCTATTTGTCCATTATTGCCTTAGCTGATCAACTTGGCAATTCTCTTTGTCATACCTGATGGCTTTTCACTGTCTTCTGATATTCCCCCATTCGTTTACAATTCTTCAACATGAGTTCTCTTGTCAAGGGAGTTTTCAAGTACCTAAGCCATGAGGATGGTGACTTAACACCTGAGGCATGCCTCCCACTTGTGAGACGCCTGCATCCTGGTGATGAAGGACCACCGGGGTAATTGCTATAGGACTACGGAAAAGAGAGTGTAAGAGAAAAAGTCTTTAAAGTGGAGGCTTTGGCCCTGTGGCCTTAGAGATTCCGAAAGTTAAACTTATTGATGTAGCTGCCTGGTCCAAGGGAATATACCTTCTAGTTTTGTTCACATGACCTGTTTCCTCCTGGGAACTTACCCCTAGAGCTCCTATAAACCAGTGGCTGAGCCAGGGGGTTCCCAAGGTGGAGAGAGAGATCCCTGATGTCAAAACCATCACCTTCCAAAGTGTCCAGAGAATGCAAAGAGGAGAGATGAATTGCAGCTGAGACTCCTGTCCCCTTTGTTGTTAGTTATTACCTTCTTATGGATGAATCGGACAGATCCCACCCCCTTTTCCTTCCCGTGGCCCATCATTCTTTTTCCCTACCGTTTCACCATGAAAAGGAGCAACGCTCTGTTCATTTTGCTGTTTATTGGCATGGCTAGTTTTGTCAGAGGATGAGGCTGTTGGTTAAAATTAGGTTTTTGGATTCCTTGATCATCATCTATTTTGTCTCCCACCTACTCACCCTGGGGGATAATCAAGAATTGCCTATGGACATCTTGATTTCTCCTTTAAATCCTTTTAGTTTGATTCTAACAGGCTGTGCTTTTTAACATTCTTGCTTATTTAAATTTGTTTTTTAATTTCCAAATTTTTAAAAAACATTTATAAAAATTGGATTGTAGTCATTCGTTCCAGATTTTAGCTGCCCCCCTCCCTTCCTATCTCTGAGATCAGCAGCTCCTTCACAGTTGGTATGATTTTGACTCTTTTTAAATCCTAAGTAGATACAGGAACTCATGGAACCATGCAGCTTGGAAAGATATGGGGTCATCACAGAATGAAAGGAAGAACTGTAGGAGCTGGGGCCTCAGGGCTAGACTGAGGAGCCTTATGCCTCCAAGACACACTGTCTGTTCTCACCTCCCTTGGCCCTCAGCTCCTCCTCCTGCTGTGGCCAGTCCTTACCTTGCCCCAAGTGTCAGCTCCACAGTCCTGCTTAGCAGCCCCATGCAAAGAGAGTCTTCCTCTCTCAGTACCTCTCTGTTGATTATTTAATAATTGTAGTCACTTCCCACAAAAGAGGAGCCACTTAGCTTAACAAGCTATGTGCACTCTCGGTAGTTGACGTTAACAAAGGAAAGATGACACGGTGCCTTTGTGTTCCCTTCTCAGGATGTGAGGCTGGGGGAGACTGATGTGGTTAGAACAGAAGTGGTGGAGTGTCAGACTCAGCAGATCCCTTAGGAATCAAATGTCTTGTTAGTAACCGCAGTATCTGGAGAGAATTACTTGGATGCATTTATGTCAATTCAGACAATTCATATTTTCTTAATCCATTTTGGATCTTCCCCCGTCTCTCAACTTCCTCTCACCCTGCCTTCCTAGTTACTGCTAATTGAGTCAGTAATACCCAGAAAATATCTTCCTCTGCTTTAGAATGCAGAAAGTGGTAGATTAATGTCCCATTATTCTCAGAGGTGAAGAGTGCTGAATAATAAGCCTGCTCCTTCCTCATTTCTCTCTCATTAACAGTTTTCACACCATGTAGTTATCTTATACCAGGTCTTGTCTGACAGTGTCCTCCTGTACGTGCCTGTGGCCTCCTAGAGCAGGGGCAAGACTAGAGGTAATCTTGCCTGGTGGCCTCTAAGTAGGGACACTCTGCATCACTGGAGAGCATTCCAGAACAACCGTGGTCAGGCAGACATCTCACTGTCCACCGCACAGCATCTCTGTGAGCGGGCCACACTTGTGTTTGCCAGCAGTAAAAGCACGTTCCAAAGTGATGTTGGAGCAGAGAGCCGTGGGTGGGAAGATGGGGAGATAGAGGGTAGCAGCCAGATCTGAGAGTTAAGAACACACCCTGGGGCTGGCAGGAGAGAACAGGAGGAGTCAGAAATTCATTTCTCTAGATGGAGAGGACACTGACCATGACTTCCAAAGCAGTCACAGGAGATTCACAGCAGGGCCGCCATAATAAGTAAGCCTCTTGCTGAAGACTCACCCTCCAATTTAGTCCTTTTTGCCTGTCATGAATTGCATCGGCTGCTGTCATTGAGTTATTCCGAGTTCTGTTTGTAATTGGAACACAGCTGAAATTAGGGTGCATGTGACCCTAAAGATGTGTGGGTTTCTGGAGGATATTTGGGAAACATCTCCAGACCCTTTGCTCCCTCTGTCTCTGTGTCTGTGGATTAGATGGAGGTGCTTATCAGATACCCTGAGCCCCTGCTGTGCTGTACCTGGTTCTCATTCTGAACACACAGTCCCTCGGGGCGGTCCCCGTGCAAGTGCTGATAGGGCTCGCACACTCCAGCACCGCGACCTCACTCGGGAGGGGCTCCCAGAACAGTCAGTGCTGAAGAATAAAGGCTTTGTTTGCTTTGTGAAATCCCTGGGAAAATCTTAAAAAGAGAAGTACAATGAAGAACTAGGAAGGACAAGTGGAATTCTTTATTGTGATGCCGTAAAACATCCCTCCAGCCTTGAGTATTTGAGGCACGCCGATACACTTCATCCTCAGTGCCGATGTGTGCCGCGGGTAAAGTGTGGGCCTGAGCTCTGATTCCAGCAGTAGGCTCGGCTCACTCTGATTGTCCTACACCCTTGTTATGAGATTACTCTTAATAGCATGTCAGGTTTAGGGGGCGGTTGGCTGGCTTCCCAGGGTCATTGTAACTGGCCCAGAGGATCATGCTGATCTTGACCTAATTCCGTGGAGCTGTATATACTAGTTATCACAGACAGCAGTTTGAAGTTCTTCCACCTGTAGGTTTACATGCAGAAAACAAGTGGAGGAGGGAGGGCGCTAAATCCTAACTGGTTTCAGTGCTTGTATTCCACATGTCAGAGGGAAACCCTCACATTTTGTTCTCCCTCAAAGAAACAACTTGGGGTATGTCACTTCTTTCCTCAGGGTAGAATGAACATGTTGCAGGAGTACGATTTTGTTTTGTTTTGAGACAGGATCTTGTTCTGTCACCCAGACTGGGGTCCTGTGGTGTGATCATGGCTCACTGCAGCCTCAAACTCCTGGGCTCAAGCAGTCCTCCCACCTTAGCCTCCCAAGTAGCTGGGACTACAGGCACATGCCACCAGACCCAGCTAAGTTTTAAATTGTTTTTGTAGATATGGTATATCACTATGTTGCCTAGGCTGGTCTTGAACTCCTGGGCCCAAGTGATCCTCCCAAAGTGTGAGATTATAAGCATGAGCCGCCACACCCAGACTGGAATTGAAGTTTTGAGAGCTGTTTAAATAATGACCTGGTTCGGGCTCTGTGGGGAGGCACCCTGGGCTGGTGACAGAGAAAGCTGGATGATGTCTTAGCCCCATTTTTTCCACCCTTGTCATGAGATGCCTTCTTGCCATTTTTCTCACAGACCCGATACTTCTCCCCACAAGCTCGCCATCGATTCCACGCTGCCCTTGCGTCTTGTTCCACCTCGATGCTGATCCTGTCCAACCTGGTGTTTCTAGGGGGCAATGAGGTTGGGAAAACCTACTGGAATAGGATCTTCATACAAGGTAAGTTGCTTGACAGTGCTGTTTTCAATCAGTTTCTTGTTTTCCATGTATGCGGATGGGATCACACATGGGATGGATGGGATTTGGGGAACTCATTCATTGTTATGTTCATAGTATGTGACCTCTAAAGTACCAGCCAGGAATAATTGCCTATGTTTAGCTATGACTTTAAGTGTCCCCTCTTTTTGATGTACCCCATATCTCCTGTATGTGATACTTGTTTAACACCAAAAGGTATTATTCCAACTCTCCCAAAGTGTATATTCCCTTCCATTACACTATGTTTCCAATGATTTGATATTTCTTAATCTTTCCTGCTGCTGTGGTTGAATATCCCCTTCAAAACTGATGTTGAAATTTAATCCCCAATTGGCAGTATTGAGAGATGAGGCCTTTAAGAGGTGATTGGATCATGAGGGGTCTGCCCTCATGAATGGATTAACCCATTCACGGATTAATGGATTATTATGGAAGTGGGACTGGTGACTTTACAAGAAGAGGAAGAAAGACCTGAGCTAGGATGCTCAGCCTCTTCACCATGTGATGCCCTGTGCTACCTGGGGACTCTGCAGAGAGTTCCCACCAGCACGAAGGTCTTCCCCAGATGCAGCCCCTTGACCTTGGACTTCTCAGCTTCCATAACTGTAAGAAATAAATTCCATTTCTTTATAAATTATCCAGTTTTAGATATTCTGTTATAATGAACAGGCAACAGAGACACCTAATGTCCGTGGGTCCTAGCCTGCAATGTACTGCAAAATCTAACCTTGTTTTGTTTATTGCTCTGAATGTCTTACTAGGAATCTGCCCTAGAAGCTTCCTTGTGCTCTCCTGAAGCTGTGGCATGGCATCGGTATTTGCCACAGCTCTTGGTTGTGGGTATTTTTGTGTGAATACCAGGGACCAACCTTATGTTTAATGTACATTAAATAGGTAATCTGAATATCCAAAGAAAAGCCATACCTGCAGCAGGTAAACTGCTACTATGTGGGAGTTGTCAAAATATTCTATTAATAATTGATCATTGTTTATTTATGGTCACCATTTCCCTTGGGCTGGGACTGAGTTATATCTATGAGAATCGGGGGATTTGGAAATACTCACAGTACATACTACTGTAGCCAACTCGCTACATCTTAAAAGAGAAGATCCCTGCTGTGTTCCCTGCCCAGTGACACGGTCTTGTGCTTTTGCTTTGGGAAGCTTTGCCAAGTGGTGATGACGTAACTCTGCACAGCTGGCCCATCATCTCCACATCTGGGTCCCTGAGAAGGCAGCAGTGCTTTTGCTGCAGCTCTTTTCACACCAGAAATAACAGCAACACAGCTGCAGTATTTCAGAATGGCAAACCATGGGCCTAAACTGTGGCAGCCTTGGGTGAGCCAGGCTCAAAGGGCCAAGAGAGAGTCCTGTTCTACTTTAATCTTGTCACTAAAAGAACCCTCTTTGATCTTGCTTTCTGTGAGATGTTTTAGCTGATAGTTCCTAAAAAGACCATGTGCTTTCTAAGTGAAAGCTTTCCTTTAATAGAGATGAGAGATCGTAGGGTGCAAAGGATCTGAAGATACAGGTGGGTTACAGCATTTTTTACTTTTCTTGGGCCCTCTCACAGAACCTAGCACAATGATAAGAACATTGTGACTTGGGGGGAAAGTGCTGATTTGGTTTGCTTGTCACATAATGAGGAAGCTCTGATTTTCACTTCCCTGAATCAAATGCATTCAGTGTTTGCTACTTGCGAGGCACTGAGAACACAGAGATGAAAAAGGAAGCTCACAAATGTGAGTGCCAAACACACAAAAATGTGCAGTAGATTCAGGGAATTGCTCTGCCGGATGTATGAGTGAATTATTGGAGGTCACAGGATAGAGTAACTGACTTTCCACGGAAGATATACTCTTCAGAAGAGGTGGCATTTGAATTGAAGTAATAATTCAGGAATTTGCTAGGTAGAAAAGGCAGGTATATCAGGGAAATTAACACTGGCTGCTTTTCCAGTCTGAAATTCCAAAATCTCAGTAATTTCTCACCATAGAAGTTTGTTTCTCTGACAGTTCAATACAAATTCGGTGGCTTTTTCTAAGCAGTGACTCCAGGACCTACAATGTTTGTTTTGATTCTCCAAAATCTTGTCCTGGCATCATGGAGGGGAAGAGAACACAGGACTGGCACACCAGGTGCTCAAACACGTGACATTTCTGCTTACATATCATTGGTCAGAGCCAGTCACATGACCAACCCAAGTACAAGGCAGGGGCGTGTAGGGAAGCATGCAGATATCAGTGTGCACCAGCTATCTATGGCACAGCAGGAGCGGCACATGGGCCTGGCCAGAAATGCCCAAGAGGCAGGTGGAAATATGAGTTAGAGTTGGAGAAGATGGTGGGACCAGTGATTGAGATATGTGGGGGTCAAGGGCGTAAAGGTTGTATGTGAGGCCAGGGGAGTAGATGCAATTAACCATGGAGCTGTGTAGAGTGAGAAGAGAACAGGGTGGGAGAAACCCCGGGGAATGCTGGCATTGAAGGGAGCAGAGAGAAAGGCAGGAAGATCAAAGTGTGACTTACCTGACATCCTGTGGCGTTAACCTCAGTCACATGGGATTGGGCTCTGAAAACCCGGTCTGCTGCTGCCACGTGGGACCTGCTATGGTCTATGACTGAACGCACTATTTATGTCCTCCTTGGACTCGGGTGCCACAGCCCTGGGAACTCTGATTCTATAAATGTGGAAGGCTCTGTGGAATCATCTCTCTTCTGGGTTCTGAGGCCAGAGAAACTCAACTTAGAAGGCTTTTTCTATGTCAGTGATTATCCAAATAAGCTTGTTTGCATCTCTGCTGGCCTGTGCCATGGGCCTCCTGAGTCAGGGAATGTCTGCTGGGGTTTTGGCAGTTGCCCCTTCTTCTGTTCCTTGCTGTGGGTTTTTGTCCCTGAAGGATTGGCTTTAGATATCTCTTGGAGGTAAATGAACCAGACGGTGTCCAAGCTCCCATCCTGGAGAACTCTGGATTTCATTTAATAACTAATGTGACTTGATAGAAGATTAATATGAATATTCCTGTTTTGGTGAAATAAAATAATGAGTCTATACGATGCTCCCTCAGTCTCTGCTGGGGCTGTTCATATCTGAGCTTTGTAAAATTAAAAATATCTGAATTCGGAAACTCATCTGACCTCAGAAAGTTTAGTTAAGGGATTGTCAAACTGTATATGGAATTGCTGACAAATGTGCACCTTTGACAGCCTTGTAGTCTTGGCATCTTCCCTGGGACACATGATCAGTTCCTGTCGCTCCAGAGCCCATCTTTACACACTGAGGAAATACAGTGAAGCGAGTGAGAATGCTGGCTTTAGGGATGGAGAGCATTTAAGCTCAGTGTCTAGATTTCCAGGTTTAAGGGAAAGGTGGCCCTTCCCTCTGCACCTTGATGGGTTGGGACCTGCCGCAGCAAGAGGGAGGAACCGCTGACACCACATGCCTCTAACAGGTCTTGCCTCAGAGTCCTGGAGGAGTAGGAAGGAGCAGATGGGTATCTAGGAGATAGGGATTATTGAGGAGATTTGTGAACACCTCACAGCTAATGGGGTGTGGATACACATGTGTCTTAAAAGATACCCCTCTCTGTTTCCCAGGGAGCCCTCTTCTGGCATCACTGATGTCCCTAGAAGTATCTCATGATTCACCTGGAAAAGTTGTCTTAAAATTGGTATCTTCCTGTCTCCAGTTCACTTGAATTTAGCCGTAGATTTGTTTGCTCTAAACTACAAAGTTTATTTTAATGATTTCCATGAAAACGTCTGTCCTGGTCTCTGTGGGTGATATGGGTGAGATGAGGCTGTAAAACCAGACCCTTCCCTTTCTGTTGTGCACCTGCCCTGCTGTCTAGAGAGTGGAAGACAGAGTCTGAAGACAAGGGATAGAAATGCTCAGTGGCAAACCTAGGGCTCTGGTAATGTGTCATCCCCAAAACAGTTTTGGTCAGGAAGTGTTACCTCTGCTGCTGAGGTTGAAGAAGTAGTGTTGAGTTTATTCAGCAGAGAATAAGGGATCTATGTTTTTGTTTTGTTTTGTTTTGTTTTGTTTAAAAAAAAAACTCCAAATTTTTACTTTTGAAGTTATGCTTCAAGCTGCTTGAGGAATATGCATATTTAGGCCTCACAAACTTTATTTAAAAGACTTAGCTGGTCCACAGATCTGAGAAGGATATGGCTGGAGATTTGGTCCAAATGCTGTTCTAGGAGGAAGTCTGCTGTGTCATGCTTTGCAGAGACTAATGCAGGTTGCTTTTTACAAGCGCTTTGGCTCTGAAAAGCATTTGTTAATAGAAGGAGCTTTCTCATGCCTGCCATAAATCTTTGACATTGAAGGATAATTTCTTCAACAAGCAGCTGAATAGAGCTCTGTAATTCAAAGGTATCAATGAGTTGTAACTCCAGATCAGCAAGGCCAGTCCCCATAAACCAGCTGTGGCCTAAGCATCTTGGCAGTGCTCTCTCCACTGTCCTGGGGTAATGAGGAGAAAAAGTATTCAAGGGGGTGTGTTTATACACTGGGAATATATCTGGCCTTGAGAGGGCTGAGAGCCTTATAATGTTTGTATGGGTGCAGAATGGTGCTTCTTCTGAAAAGTCTGTGTGCTTTTGTCCAGGGAAGCCATGGACTTTGTTTTAAAAAAAAAAAAAGAAAAAAAAGGAAAACCAAACCATTTCCCAAGTGGAGGGGCCTGGATCACTGGGGTGATCCAGTGACAGTGTTGCAGTGACAAGAGCTTGGTAGAGATGTGGCATCCACGGAACATTGCCCTGTCTGATGTCTCCTTACACACACACACCTGTACACACATGCACACATACACACATGGATGTTTGTTTTTCCTTCTATTATCCGATCTATTTTGGCAAGCTCTGCCTTAACACTTAGCTCCTGCAGTGACCCCATGCCAAGGCAAGAATTTTATTCTTTTTCCCTCTAGATTGCAGTGAGAGAGGAGCTGGTAA